TAGTTCAGCGATTTTCCATGCTATATTTATTTTACCGTCGTTAAGCAATACAAAATTCGAAAAATCTAACGCGCCTCGACGATATTGCTTAAATATTGATTTATTTAAAAATAATAATTTTATTGGCAAAGTGATAAATTTGAAACAGGCAGATTTTTTATGATTTTGAAAGGGATTTTACAGATTCCTTTGTCAAATCCAGAATCTTATTTGGAATGGTAATAATCAGTTGACATAACTGAAATCGAATGATTATTATTGTCATTTATGTGTCAATGGCTACATTCTGAGAATGTCAAAATCAATCGCCATTATTTTCAATGGTTTGAAATAAACCCCTAACAAGATTCTGTTAAGACTAATCTTTCTTGCACAGAACTATGGAGATTAATAAGTTCAATTAACCTTGTTGTTTTCTTGAATAAGATCAGTTGGGCTTGAATACAATTAGTGATTGATAATCAAGACAGATAAGTTTTATGTAAGATCGCCATAAGTTCAGTGCTTCTATCACAAACATTGCAAATGTTAACGTTCAAATGAAAAGATCTTATAATCAATTGTTGTTGCTAATTCCAACTCCATCTTGATTTTATTAATTATTCTAAACTACACAACTTATGTAGAACTGTACAATGAAAACATCGCGATGTAATTAAATGTTTTATAAAGTATTGAGAAGTAAAGTGATTTGCAATGAATAATTTAATTTGGAATATTTCTTATACCCCCTAGAACCTTTTGGTATGTAAATTGCAGTAGACTAGAAAATAGCTCGTCATCGAGTTTGTCATTTGAGCATCGGAAGGATTGTTCTCCGGCTTTGTTTCCTTGTGTCTTTGTATACCTATTCGCACCTGTTCGTCTTGTTTTGAAGTCGATGCGTGCTGAGATGAAGGCATGTTAATATATTGGATAGATTTTTACTCAATTTCCGTTTGTAAGATCCACTATTTTTCATTTTTTTCCACCTGTTGGCGTCCATTAGTTTTGACAGTTTGTTTATGTATTTTAGGAAAGTCTTTCTCAAGAGTTTTTACTCTCGGTTAAAACCTTTTTGTTTTAAGAAAGTTTTATGCCAGCATTCTCAAAATACATTAGGATGCTTTGTTGATTGTTCATTAACTCTTGATCGCTTGCACTACTTATGAATATTTTAGGTGGACAAAAAGGCTAACTAAGAGGTGGACGCCTGAGCTTTTCCACATTTAGGGAAAATGGCTCTAATGTTGGCCTATGGATCTAAGATTGGGCCTATCGCTAAAAATCTGCTATTCATCAATTTTATCTAGTTGAACGCGTCATTGGGACGGTACTAATTGATATTTTTGGCTGCTATTGAAAATTTAGTCGATTGTTGAATTTATGTATGGACCCAAGTAAGGGACATTTAGGTCGACATTACATCCATTTCCCCTATATCGCTGTGAAGCAACTGTAAACTCTAGAGGTAATTTATATCTGTAACTGTAACCAGTTCGATTTTGTTTGTTTGCATGGTTAAATTGTCATATTTAATTATCTTAAAGATAATAAGACTACAAACCTTCGTAGGGGTAAGAGGTGGGACCATCATCATCTTTAAAGACCTCACGGTTGATGCATGTGTTCATGATTATCGATGTCAACGGATCCTCATGGATACGTTATATAATTGAAGAAATGTAAACTGTGCGATGCTTGTCTTTATATTGACCGTGCATATTCATTGTTCAATTTGTAAAAAAATGCTATTGGGTGCAAAAAATGTCACGTCGATTAAAGCCGCCGCCTAAAAGTGCTATCGGCGTGATGCCGAGCATAATTATCCCACACGCCACCGGTGACCTTTTTTGAATCAGCGCACACCTCTAACCTGTACCTTCCAGTAAGACGTAGTCTACACTCAAAAATAATTCAAAACATTGTTAGATTAAAAAGTATTATTTTTTTTTTCGATAAATGTGATTTAAACATTGCTTAGTATAAAAATAAATCTATCTTAGAGATCAAATTAAGCATAACATTGAATTTGAAACGAAAATTCCTCAGTTGTATAAAAAGATTGGCACACGCTTCATCATTCTGGATTAGTTTTTTTTTAAGTGGTAGCAATTGTTCCATTCGAAGGTCAGTAAGTTATTATAAATTAATTAAAACGATCAGCTGGAGACCTGAACCTTATCTAACCTAAAACGATCTTCGACTTAATAAAATATTCCACACAGAATACAAAATAGCCTTGATTGGATCTTGCTTTACATCAGGCAGAAATATTCAAGCAGGTAGATCAGGAAGTTAAACTACAACGCACGGTACCAAATATGGTTTTGGGTACTCTACTAACCGTTAGATTGAGAAAATTCTACTAAGGCACCGCGACACAGTAGTTAATCCCCCAGTTCGGAAGACTCCCTATCCGAAAGTAAGCAATGCGGACGATATCTTTCTGAAAGTTTGCAGTTCAACAGTCTGATCGAGAACGGAAACTATTTGGTGAGATTCGATAAGTCCAGTGCACACTTCGCAGGTATGTGTTTGTTTTTCTTCAAGTCCCTCGGACAGAAGGAAAAGTTTTGTAAGCAAGCAGCAAGCACATATGAAGGATGAGGTGGAAGTGGCTCTGGTTGCTAGTAAAAATGCACAATTTTTATCCGTGTGTAACTTTTTTTATCCGTGGGTAATATCTGGGTATAACTAGTTTCGAGTGAATTGTTTACATGTGCAAAATTTCATAACAATCGGTTCAGTGGTTATTGAGATGTCATCGAAACAAGAAGAAAATCGCCGGAGAATTTTGCGCGCCGTCATGGAAAATCCGACTGCGACCATGAGATGGATCGGAAGACAACTAGGAATCACCCATACAATTGTGTCCCGGGTGGTAATATCGTTTAAGGAGTCCCAGACGACGGAGCGGCGGGCTGGAAGTGGAAGAAAATCGAAGACAGCTGACCCTGTGAAGGCCCGGAAGGTGTTGGATTATTTCAAGCATAATCCGAACCTTTCGATTCGCGACGCGACTCTGAAGGCAAAGTGTTCCGCCTGGTTCGTTCAGCAAATCATGAAACGAGCTGGGCTTCGTGTATTCAAGGTCCGGAAGGCACCGAACCGGCGTGATCAACAAAACACGGCGGCAAATCCCGCGCAAGAAAGCTGTATCGAGATTGGTTAACGAAACCGATGTGTTTGGTTATGGATGACGAAACCTACATCAAAGGAGACGCAAAGCAGATACCGGGGCTGGAGTTCTACGTTGCCAAATCACGGTTTGATGTTCCGAAAGACATAAGGAAGAAGAAAATGGACAAATTCGCCAAAAAATACTTGCTCTGGCAGGCCATATGCCAATGCGGTAAACCGTACATCACAAAGGGTACCATCAACAGCGAAATTTATCGCCCCGAGTGTCTCCAGAAGCGTCTGTTGCCCTTGCTGCGGTCCCACGCAGGCAAGACATTATTTTGGCCGGAATTGGCATCATGCCATTACGCGCGATCGACGATGGATTGGTACAGAGACAATAACGATGTTTTTGTACCAAAAACCGCCAACCCCCCAAATTCACCAGAGATTCATCCGGTGGAAAGATTTTGGGCCATAATGAAGGTCAAAGTTCGAAAATCGTCCAAGGTGTTTAAGAACGAGCTGGAGTTGAAGAAAGAATGGGTGAAAGTGACCAAAATGGTCGGTTCCACCATTGCACAAAATGTAATGAGGGGTCTTAAGGGAAAGGTGTGGGCTTTCAGCGATGGAAAGGACATTTAATAAAGTAATTATGCCGAAACATAATCCATATTTATTAGTTCATTCCCTGAAAGTTTAAAAAAAAATCCGGCTTAAAATAAATTTTTGGCGAACACTTTTGCCAGGTGCATTTTTTTTTTTGAGTACAGGCCTTATAAGGAGAACTTTTCGATCCAACATCAGACACGAGCTTTATATTTGCAAGATTCTGAACTCTACTGGAAGGCACTGCAATTGGTACCTGATGTCGGTTCAACGTTCAACTCAATAAAATCATAATTCCATTATTTCCGACATTATTCACGAATCTTTTGTTTATTTTTTTCTAAATACATGATATCTCAGTAATTAAAAACGCATTCTGACGAATTATTGGACTGTATAGAGATTAGTGACGTTTAACGCACGCACACTAGCGCACATCACCGTGTTAAGTTGTTTATTATTTTCCTCTGGCTAACTAAGAAAATGTATGAAATTATATCTGTCAAAATGAGTTTGACAGTGATTTTTTATGTATTTTCCTCGGATTTTCACTAACACGCTCTCACATATCACACCAATACAACCGGACGTGAAAATCTCAATACAATTTACATACTGTTACTTTACATTATACACTGAATAAACCATTTTTAAACTTAGCTTGTATTCTCTCTATTTATACCGAACTATGCGTCGGTCAGGAGAGTTGCGATTTAGCATAACTTTTAATCTATTTAGATTTGAAAATCTTTTGAGTGCACGTCAAAAGAAAGATGAAGATAATCAATCAATGCAGATAAGATCTTTTGAAATGTTCATCTAGAATTGTTTCGGTAATTTCACCAAAAACAAACTGATTGCAAATTCAACAGCGATGATGTTGTCTAGTTTATGTTTCGAGCATGTCGAATTTTATTCAAAAGCGATCCTTGAAACTGATCTATTCTCATTGATATTATTAACAATATGTTAACATTATTATTGTAACATCAACATGTCACATAATAGGTTTTCCCTTACCGTTCTGAATACGAAAAAAAGGTGCAAGGGATTCTTTGCTCATAATTAAGCAGGAAAACCGAATGATGTTGAAGTTTTTCTTTAGCAGTAAAGTCTATTCTACATTCGTCTCGTGTGCATAAAATGATGAAATACGTTAACGCTATACACCAAAGCAAGTTGAAGGATTATTAAATGTAAGAAGAAAAACTTCAAGGCAATCGATTTATGAAATAAGAAGCTTAACGCAATTTCAATGCAAAGTGTTTATATAACAACATAATACATACTCACGAAACAAACATTGGTTGCACTTAAAATAATTTCACTCCTTCTAACGTATTTTAGTGTTTTGTTATTAGGATACACATATTCAACATCGGATACAACTAGAATACTCCAATCAAAGGAACACCATTATTTCAAAGAGGTTTTCAGCACATCATATGCGCATGTCCATGGTTTTACAAGTCCAAGCATAATACATCCGGGTTTGACACACTGTGAAAACATTGTGGCGAAATCATAACTAGCAAAATAAAAATGAAATAAAATCTGGCTTTTATCTTATATTATTATAAGGGAAAAAAATAATTCTATCTATTAGAGAAACATTAAGGAGAAATAAATAAAATTTATTGAAAATATAATGCTATCGGTCTATCGGATAGCCCTTGACTTTCTTCTTTTCCTCCCATTACACTAGCCGGCAAAATATGAACTATTATCGCACCCTTCAGCCATTTGCAATGAATTTGATAGACTTTGCTGGCCTAATCCAAATATGCACTCATATTATATGTAACACGTATAAAGTACCGGATAACATTTAATGTCTGATTTATTTTGCCTCTCCAAAAAATATCAATGGACTGTGTTCGCGATAGCGAAGAATCTTGGCCTAACTATCGTCGCGCCAGGCAGCGTGTCACACAACAGCCGTGCAACAAGGCATATACAATCCCAACAGCTGATTCATTTCCCTTTCGTTCCCTTTTCGTGCAGACCACGGGATATTGGTCTTACACGCTATCATTTTTTTTATGCACAACGCAAATAAGACGATGTTTTTGATTGGTGGACCAATCGCAGGTTTTTGTCTCAACGAAAAGAAGGAGAAAGTTCCACTGTTCTTTGTGAAAGGATTTCCAGTCTCAAATGTACCATGCGCCTGTGCACTGAAGGCATCAAGCTGATGGTTCCAGCGATGAACCACTACAAGGCCGTCGAGACGTTGCAGAAGCAGAAAAATATGAAGTATTTCTCCCACGATGGCATATGGCATGGCATGGCATGGAACAAAAAAAAATGATGGGGTTGTGTACGGCTACATGGTTGACGTAGACTACGTTAAGCCATAAAGGTAACTCTAAGACTAGTAGGTCCCGAAGAAACGTGCTCAAATTTTTGGCTCAGCTCTGGTACTATCTTCGGTCCCAAGCTAATCGATTCATCCCTCGAAACATAGGAAAATCCACGAGCCCCTCATTTTATCTATCAAACTTTCATATCGAATCAAAACAAACATTGTGTAGTACTAGAATTTTGACTAGAATGGGGTACGTTAATCGATTTGCTTGGGACCAATAGGCTAGTCAAGTAGTGAGCCAATTTAAAATCGTTAGTTTCGTATTGATTGTTGGTTAAACTGTGTAGTGAAATTCTCGTGCATTTATCTAGATATTGATTTAAAATACAGTTGAAGTAACCTATGACTTTGGTCCTATGTACATATTTTGGATTTCCTACTTAGTAAAACTTGGTTAAATTCAGCCTAATAAAAATGCGAATATATATGGGAAATGCTCGGGGAAATGGCTCTAATGTTGGCCTATGGATCTAAGATTGGGCCCACAGCTAAAAATCTGCTCTTTATATCTACATGAACGCGTCATTGGGACGTTACTAATGGATATTTTTGGTTGCTAATGAAAATTTAGTCGACTGCTGAATTTGGTATGGGCCCAAATAAGGGGCATTTAGGCCGACATGATATCCATTTCCCATATTCTATTACATTTGGTTGCTAAATTACAAACAGATATGGATAAATTTTCTGGTTTTTTGACAGTAGCCCATGCATTATCTGTAAAAAAAAAACCCCGAAAACTTATGCATTGTGCGCCAGCCTTAAGGCTTTCTTCAGGTGATTCATTACAGCGTCCAACAATGACTTCAAGATTTCTAGGGACCAAATCTCGGACGGTTGTGACATCACTCATGAAATTGTAACTCCTTATGTTCTGCACTGCAGCAAACGTGAAGTTTCAGTTTCTTTGTTAAAAGTTTTGTGAGAGCTGATATTTGTGCTCTTGAAATTTTTATGTGGTACCTACTGAGATTGATCAGAAACAAGGTTTCCACACCGATTCATCTTCAAAACGCTACAAAAAATGCACACCCAAAAACGGAGTGCTCAATTTTGCACCACTGTTATGCAACATTTCGTAGTTGATCGGGAATATCTCGATGAGCCAAAAATCCCTTCTGGGTACATCTTTTATCTACCGATTGAGCAAAAAAAAAAATACTAAATATTGCTGTTTTTTAAAGATTTTGTTTGCGTTTTGTAGACTCACATGCATCTTTTGGCATAAGATCACGGGGCGTTTCTGTGGTGGAAAAAAAAGTGACTTCCATATCTATCACAGATTACAAATTCGACAGTGAGCATGCATAAGGGCATAACCGCAATGGTCGATACTCTTTTTTGTTAATAACTCACATGGATTAAAATATCTCGGTGCTGTTGCTTTTGATAGCCAGTACAGGTTGCAGGTTACAGCACTACATTAAAAAAAATTCAGATAATATTCAAGATGCACATTGCATTAGGTCCTAAGTATAACATTGATCGATTCTCTTCGTCGAACTTCTCTTTCGTTTATAACTTGAGCACATAACCGTTTCGTGTTGTGTTTGTCGTATAAGATGCTAGATAAACTCCGGCTTGGTAATTCCGTGCCTTTACTGACTCGGCTATGAGGCATGGCTGAAAATACCTGGGAATGTCTTTGCCGAGGGGATACAAGAAGAAAGTCGACGAAGAGAATTGGTCAATGTTACTTAGGACATAATGTAATGTTCAGCTTGAATTGTTTCGCTTAGCTATTGGCGTTGACGGCGACTCTGTAGCTCTTTACTCCTATGAGAAAATCCATAAGCAAACGTCAGACTGTGCGTGAAACGTGGCGGACTTTGTACTATCCTTTAACTCCACCGAAAATTCCCATAAGAAACTATCTAAATTTGCTGAAAAAGCAAATTTTTCGACGGTGCCGTCAACGCCAATAGCAATGTAAAGAGAAAATCGATGAAGAAAATCGTTCATTGCAAGTAGGCCCTTTTCAACGCTCACTGTCGAATTTTAGAACCTAGCACTGCAAAACAAATTTTGACTTTAAATGACCTATATTTCTTGGATTTGTGTGGTTTTTTTAACTCTTTATTTGTTCCAAATTCAAAATAAATTACATTTCATGTTAACCTAGGTGCTACAGTTACTACAGTAACTTACCAGCCTTAATTGTTATGATATATATCTAAGTGTTTTTACATTGTTCCTGCCTTGGCAATTCAGTATTTTAAACAGGTTTTTTAAACCTGCATGTCAGTATAACAATTAAAATCTTAAAACTAAAAACTAAAACTAAATCTTATCTAGGTTTAAAGGAAATTAATCGTTGCAATTGAGGATTGCAACGATTTTCGCCTGAAGTTATTAATTATTTCGTTGGACATTTGTTCTAAAGTCTCAACATTCGAAATTCTATGTACTTCGGTAGTACTGTACCAGGGAGGCAACTTCAAAATCATCTTCAGAACTTTGTTCTGAATCCTTTGAAGTGCTTTTTTCGTGGTAGTGCAACAACTAGACCATATTGGCACAGCGTAAAGCATGGCCGGTCTAAACATTTGTTTAAATATTAGAAGTTTATTCGTCAGGAAAAGTTTGGATTTCCTGTTTATAAGAGGATAACAACATTTTATATATTTGTTACATTTGGCTTGAATGCCCTCAATGTGATATTTAAAAATAAATTTTTGGTCAAGTGCTAATCCAAGATATTTCACTTGTTTTGACCAGGAAATTGGAACTCCGTTCATAGTGACTATGTGACTACTACTAGGATTCAAAACGAAGCTCTAGGCTTATGTGGAAATATTATAAGTTGAGTTTTGGAAGCGTTGGGAGAAATCTTCCATTTTTGTAAATAAAAAGAGAAAATATCTAAACTTTTCTGCAGTCTGCTGCAAATAACACGAAGACTTCTTCCTTTAGCGGAAATGCCGGTGTCATCGGCGAACAAAGATTTGTGACAACCCTGAGGCAAATCAGGGAGGCCCGAAGTGAAAATGTTATATATTACATTATATTATTGCAGATTTGGAATTTTGATAATTTACCTGCAGAGTTCTGCCAGTTAAATAGTTTTGAACTAATTTCATAATTTAAAGTGGAAAATTAAACTTAGAAAATTAATAGTTTCAAACAAACCTTCATGCCAAACACTGTAGAATGCTTTTTCTTTATCTAGAAGAGCAACTCCAGTTGAGTGGCCTTCAGATTTGTTTGAAAGAATTAAATTGGTAACTCTTAAGAGTTGATGAGTAGTTGAATGCCCATGGCGAAATCCAAACTGCTCATCTGCAAAAATTGAGCTCGTATTGATGTGAAGCATCATTCTATTCAAAATTATCTTTTCAAAAAGTTTACTTATTGAAGAAAGCAAACTTATTGGACGGTAGCTAGAAGCTTCAGCTGGATTTTTATCCGGCTTCAAAATTGGAACAACTTTTGCATTTTTCAGGAAAGTATGCCAAATGAAAACATCGGTTAAATAATTCTACCAGGAAAGACAAGGTACTCTCTGGGAGTTTTTTGATGACGATATAGAAAATTCCATCATCACCTGAAGCTTTCATATTATGAAACTTTTTAGTTATAGACCTTACTTTGTCCATATCAGTCCCCCAGGAATTATCAAAAATATTTTCCCGAGAGAAAATCTTCCGATAATCCCGAGCAACCTGATTCTCAATAGGACTAGTAAACTGAAATTATGGGAACTCTCGAATTGCTTAGCAAGTTTCTGAGCTTTTTCCAAATTTGTGATCAAAATTTTACCACCTTCTTTAAGCGCTGGAATAGGCTTTTGAGGTTTTTTCAAAATTTTTGTGAGTTTCCAAAAAGATTTGGAACTCGGGTCTAACTTAGATACATTATTTTCAAAAGTTTTGTTCCTCAGGGCAGATAATCGTTTTTTTTATTTGTTTTTGCAAATCCCGCCAGATAACTTTCATGGCCGGATCGCGTGTTCTTTGATATTGTCTCCTACGGACATTTTTAAGACGGATCAAGAGCTGAAGATCGTCGTCTATTAAAATTGTATCGAATTTAACCTCGCATTTTGGTACTGAGGTGGCATAAT